TTTGCATGATCCGCAAAAATAAGTTCCCGCAAAAATATATTCCCGCAACAATTTTATCCGCAAAACTTTACTCCACCGGATTGATGCTGATTACCATGTTTTACATCTCTGCAATCTGCATGTTCAGGTTTCAGTTGATGTAGTTTAATTAAAAAAACAACAACAGATTACAATTAAACGCAACTTTCCGAAAAGGTTTATACCGGTCGTTTAGCCACCAAGTCGATTCGCCCCTAGCAGGTTAGCCCGCAACCAGAAGTCTATCAGCCAGCATGTTCTTACAAGAACGAGAAATAGACAGTGAAATAGACTTCTGGTTACATGTAATTGGGGGCTAATCATGAACAACTTCCAGGTTCTGGTTGGAGGCTAAACGCTTAGGAGGTAATCCTTGAAAATTGAAAAAAGTAATAACCGGCAAGAAAAACCAGTCTTTTACAATCGCAAAAATTAGTTCCCGTAAATTACAAAAAATCGCCGATCTGCAAAAGTTTCGTGCCACACTGAACTACTTTTTAGAAAGATTTTTTTCATGCAGCGGAAGTGGTAGGGATGTTATATTTTTCAAAATTTTGCATTTAATTATATCTACAGAATCAAATTTTAAATTTGCAACTATTTCTCTCTGTAATTTAGGTATGCTTATTCAACACGTGATTTCTTGTTTTGTTTTGTTTAAAAAAAACCCCAGAGCTGTTGGGGTCGCTCATGTCGCTTATCGTAGCATTACAAAGTAGTTGTTTATATATGTTACCAGTTGTTATATACTTAACCTCCTCTGATACCTGTTGTTTATTTCTGAGTATGTAAAGGTGATTTTTTGGGGAAACTGTCTGTAAAGGAATATTCGTCGTTTTTCAGAAAGATTCAAGCCTACATGGAATATCACCAAAAAAATGCGGGATTTCAATCGCAAATTAATGTTTCACATCTCCCCCGTGCGATCCCCCGGACAGTCTCCCTCCTGGAGCATTTTAAACTATGAATCCCCATCCCTCGGGGTAAAAAGTGTGTTCTAAAACTTACTTTCAGTACGCGATCAAATGCTCCAACCCTGGGACACACATGAGAAAAAAATCACCCTCGAACGACCGAAAATCGCATATTAGTTAAAAAAGAAAGTGAGTTTTGATAATATCTTTAAAATTTTTTCCTTTGCTATTTGGCGTGTATAATTTTTAAATAAGTACATGCGACCCAAAAAATGGCAGTGAAAAAAAGAAGCAAAAATATTATGTCGCCCAACGTGGGGCTCGAACCCACGACCCTGAGATTAAGAGTCTCATGCTCTACCGACTGAGCTAGCCGGGCTGACTCGAATTGGGAGGAAAATTTTTAGTATATAATTGACTTAGTTATGGTGATTGACATAGGCATGCGTAGTGCCGTTTCAGAACAAAGGATCCTGGGTAGTACGCTCACCAAGATGTAATGGCGGCGAAGAAGCTAGATCCAGACAAAAGTCTTCCTTGGGGCTTGTCCCCAGAAGGGTTAGCTCCTGGATCGATGAAGGTAAGCAAGTTCCCGATATTTTAGTAAGCAACTTTTGCCCAAAAATGTTCACTTTACCTCTCGAGTTTCGTTGTTTCACGCGCTGAAATCAAGTTCATTGCTTCACCATGTTTCCTGCAGACGATCTCACAGAGCAAGTTGAAGTCTTTTTCTATCGGCATGATGAACGCTGGACTGAAGAAACCCGTTAAATCAAAGCAGGATGCTGAGGAGAAGAAAAAGGTATCAATTGGATGCCACTGTACTGTCGTAATTTTCCCGATCATGAGATCTAAGATCTAGTAGTGTTAACAAATAGTTAGCTATAGCTACGAAAAAGAAAAAGTAAGATTGATGAGCTTGATATAGAGAGCTCTTTTTATCGAGCCATTGAGGAAGTATTTTAAGTTCAACCATATGAACTAGAGAGAATACTTAGCCGAAAATGTAAGGCCGACCTTTTCGGTCAGAGATTGGGAAAAAGTATTGGGAAACGTTAATCAAAGCTCTAAAGTTAGCGTGAGAAAATGGACCATGCATTACTCAGTACAGCCAACAAGATATTTGAAGAAAACACTGGTTATCATGAGCCAAGGGCAAATAGCCTTTCAAGATCATGACAAAATGAAGGTGACATGTTGAGAGCCCTTTGACATTGCTGGCCCAAGAGTCATAACAAGACACAGCTTTTGATTGGTGTAGTCAGCAAATTTTAGCATGACTGGCTCAAGATCATGCGAGGGAAGTTATGACTGACTAACCTGCAGATTAGAATGTGGCTGCTGTTAATGGGAAGAAGCACTGCACGATAACCAAAATAACAGTGTGTAGGAGGCTAGAAATAAAATGACAGTATACCCTTTGACATCAGTTAAAATTTACATGTATAGCAGGTACAGAAGGAAGAGATCTGTAGAACACCTAATCTGTAGATGCTGTGATTATGTTTACAGTGTGACTACCTGAACTGATCCACTTGGAAAAGAGTTAATCAATTAGTATGTTACTTGAGAACAAAGGATAGCAATCTTTTCCTCAAATGAACCAATGACATTGAAGAATACAAACAATAGTTCTTAACAAAATTGAAAACCCAACAAAGTGTGAAGTGTTGCAAACCTCTCAGGAAAATTTGTGAATTGTTGATTGGTTAGTTTTCATTCTAAACTTAGTACAGTTTTCAATGGTTTCGGTTTAGTAGCAAAATGAGTTTCCAACCTAAATTTTTCGAGCTAGATTTACAATGATAATTCGCTGTCAAGGACTGAATCTCTTAAAGTGTCTATATCACATAGGAGTCGATAGTATTTCTGTATTCATGTCAAACAGACCTTTATTACTTGCCGACACGAGAAAGCTACCAATACATTGCTCTAAGTTTACATTTTGATTGGTTAGTTTTCCTCTAGGTGACCTGGTTCCAGTAGTCGCATCATAACATGACTCTTGATAACCCTCAATTAGTGGGGCTTTTAACATGACTGATAACAATTTGCCCTTGTGTGTGTATTTAGAAAGCAGAATCAGAGTGTGCAGAAGTGTTTGCAGATTTTGTGGCATCATTTGAAGATTCCCGAGTGGCTGGTAAAACTTTTGTACGTGGTAACACGATCAACCCTGAAACAAAAGGTACAGTAATAGTATTGGAAGTTTTTTTTAATACAGAATCAACTGTCATGTAAAATCAGTTTATGAAATGGTCAATGTTTTGTAGCAAATTTGTTGTTTTACACACCTTGCATATGTTATATTTTGATGTATAACCTGTTTTATTAAGATATATCCCCAAGGTAAATTTTTGGGTGAGAAGGAAACTCAGTTAAAAACTCACTATGTCATCTTACTGTGTGGCATGGAATTTTTGCAAGAATTTATTTCACGGCTCGGTGATTGTTTGTATTTTGTTGGAACTACATGTAATTTTGCGATTGTGAAAGACTGGTTTTTCTTGCTGGGTATTAATTTTTGCAATTTTCAGAAGTAGCTTTTAATTGAGGTACAACATTTTCATTTTTGTATTAAACTACATGCAATAGACAAGTGAAAACAACATACAGAGATGTAAAAAATGGTAATCAGTGTCACTGTTGTACATCTTGCCCTAGTGTGGCTGACAAGACCATCAGACAATCCTTTTCTGTAAACTTTTTAGCAACTACAGCACACCTGTAGTGTACCAAGGGTAATTTCATTGTTTTGTTTCTGAACATTTTGTTCCTAATTTCATTGTTTTGTTTCTGAATGAAAGAGATGTTTTAAGTAAATGCCACCAACAACATTCTACATGTGATCTTTGTATGTTTAATTTTACCAGTGGAGTAAAGTTTTGCAGGACCTTTTTTTGTGGGAACTTTTTTGCAGATATTTGTGGAGAAAACTGCAAAATCATAAAAGTTAAAACCCATAAAACCCAGTTATGCCACATGATATTTCAATAATAATTTATTGTTATTGGTTATTGGTAATGCCTTTGATGCTTTATCAAAAGATCTCAACCATGTTGACAAGGTTTTGTCGTGTAATGTCTTTGCAGAGGAAACTGCTTCAGCGCAAGCTGGAGCATTGTACAAGCCAATGGCAAAGCTGTCTGCTACTGTTATGGAACAGAAAATTAAGACTGAACTGGCTCCACCCAAGTTGGTGTGTACTTGATTTTATAAACTGTTGATCATTATAACTGGCATATTTTGCACGAGGCTGTGTAAACACATCAGTGCATTTTACAGGACTTAACATCTGTAAGTTATAGCTATGCAATAGGTCACAGAGATTACAGCAAGTTAACAGGTTGGTGTGTGCTTTAGCTCCACTCCATAACTGTGGGCTTTCTCAATGCGAGTAGGGTGCCCTTTGCTCTTCGTGTAGTGATCTTGTTGACATCAGCTGCTAATTATTTCACTAGCTGGCACTGAGGTACATGTGAATGGCTAGTTTTATATCCTCAGTCGCTTTTCCATGAGGAAACAAAACAAGCTACAGGTGTCCTGTAGCTGTAGCAACAGTCATCGAGTGTTTTGTCATACCCCACAATGGACTCACTGTTGCCAGGTACAACAAAGTTAAAGGTTCTCTAATTTCTTTCAGGAATTAAAGAAAAAAGCCAAAGAGAAGGAAAAGAAGAAGAGTAACTTAGAAATCTTTAAAGAAGAATTAAAAAGGTGAATATGGAACATTAAGTTTGTTCAAGGATGAAAATTAATATTAACTCACTTAAATTGTCAACCTGTCATCAACTTCTTAAAATGAGTGTAAATGGTTTACAAGGAATTTTAAGCAGTATTACGCAGCTCTTTTTAAACTAGGAATGATTTGCAATAATGACAATGAGTACAAATATGGAATGGATTCAATTGCTCCTTGAACCTTTTTCAAACATGGTATTTGCTGAAATTGCATACACACTACTGACTTTGTGACATGTAAATTTATATTCTCTCTGGACTGACAAATGACTTCCTTAAAGAAGAAAATTATTTGCAGGCTTGCAATAATGACTTTAATAATCATCTTAGAAAAACGTACATGTAAGAAAGTCACAGTGGTCTTTTGCTTCAGTGATAAATTTGGTGTCTTATACTCCTAGGCATTCTCTTGTCATAGAAAAACAAATTTATTAATTTTTACATGGTATTTTCTCATTTTCAACAGACAACAGAAGGAGCGAGAGATAAGGCACAGGATCAAGAAAGGAGATTTAGCAGATATTCCTAAAGAGGTTCTAGAAACAATGGCACCCTCACTTCTTATGCCTTCAAAGGGTATGTTTGGCAACTTGTTCTCTGTTTTATGGTTTTGTTTGAACGGTTTTCGTACAAAAGTACCAATCAGTAATTACATCTGACCTATGAATTGAATTGAATTGAATTGAATTTTCAAGTGTAAAACTATAGCTGAGATTTGTTTCTTAAGAACTGCTATTTTGCATTGTACCTGGACTTGGATTATTGCTGTTGGAAACACCTGAGTACTGTGAATTTCTAATATTTTATCAATTTTCAGAGTGGGCAGTTATGAATACTTAGTGAAATTTTGTGCCGTACCAGCAGTATTGTACATGTATGACCACATTAAACATGCAATACAGCTGGTACAGCACAAAATTTACTGCAGGGGATCCTGTTCTGGGTCTTTTGAGTAGCCATGAACAGGTTTTGAGGATGCTAAGTTACTACTACTGATAAGTTATATTAAAGTTAAACTTGTTGAGGCATTTTGTTTCATTTCAGAGGAAAGCTATTCTTATGGTTCACATGATACTGGGGATCCTTCCACCACAAACCTGTACATTGGAAATATCAATCCAACAGTAAGTTGAAATTTAAAATTAATACTTAGGTGCATTTTTCTGTAGCTGCATTTTTATACATGTATGTTGTAGAAATTCTATAGTGAAAGACCTATGTTCCACCACAAACGAAGAGGATTGAGTGAGTGAGTAGAAATTCTCTCAAATGTTTACTGTGAGGCTTCTATTGACCAGTCAGCCATCCATTTCATGCACTGCACTGTATGGAATGAAAAAAGATTTATTTTGTAGTACACTAATACATGTAGATCTCCAAATAAGCATCGTTGCAAAGACATTGTCACTATATTATTTTGTGTTTCTGTCCTTGGAAAAGTCTTCAAAAAGTGATCTGTGGAGCAAAGTAGTAAAATTGTCAAGCAGTCAAATAAGTGTTGGATGCTGGTCCAATAACCCAGCTTTTTCTTTTCTTTTTGCTTTTAAATTGTGGTCCACAAGTAGTGTTATAGGAGTGAAATGTCTAACCCTAGAACATGAAGCTTGATCTGGGATCCAGGCCTGTGGTTTAAGAAAAATTATGAGGCACCCAAAGTTTCCTAACCATGAAATCCTGGGTGCCCAGCATGTAAGCTTATATGAATAAAGTAAGTTTTTCCAGTCACCCTAAGGCAAATGTTAGTACCCTGTGGCACCTGGGTGCTTGTAGAGCACAGCCCTGGGATCTGACACACTAGCTATTGGGTCTCCTCCCAAGGGAATTCCACTTGTGTGATGTAAACATTATTTGGAAATACTTCAGCCATTATAACTAGAGATATAAAAGGAAAACAATATCTGAGCAAAGCTCTACCACAGTCTAAACTAAGCTTTTTATTTTTAAAATTAGATGACAGAAGAGATGTTAATGCGACTCTTTGGCAAGTACGGACCCCTGGCCAGTGTAAAAATAATGTGGCCCAGGACTGAAGAAGAAAAAGCCAGGAACAGAAACTGTGGGTTCGTTGCCTACATGAGGAGGAAGGATGGTGAAAAAGCTCTGAATGCATTGAAAGGTTGGGCAGGGTTGCTAGAAATTTTCATTCAGTTTCTTGTTATTCAATTCAGAGAGTAATTGTGTTCGTAATTTCAATCAGCCTGACATGGCAGGTTTATCCAAGTTTGAAACTTCCCACCCAGTTACTCCCTGGATTGTACTCTACTTGATCCAGTTACTAGTTCTTATCAATAACACATGTATATTTTTTATAACAGGAAAAGAGGTCATGTCATATGAGATGAAGCTTGGGTGGGGCAAAAGTGTCCCCATACCACCCCACCCTATCTATATTCCCCCTGAAATGCAAGAGGACACGACGCCACCTCCCCCGTCAGGCTTGCCATTTAATGCCCAAACTGACAAAAAGAAGGACGACTATTCCAATGCTCCTCCCCCACAGGGAGCAGGCGAGGAAGGCAAACGTGATGTTGATGCAAATGGCTTTGATAAGGAGGTGAGGCATGCAAAGATAATAACCACAGTCTTTTGCACTCACACATTAATTTACATGTATTACCACAGATAGCTTAGAAAAACCCTGTTTTCTCAAACATGTTTTCTCTTGGTACTTTTATTAAGACTTCCATGGTCATGAAGGACATATTCGACTTTCAGGGCTTTGTTATTTGAAGCAATCTATTAGTTGAATTGTTATGTCTTACTTATCTTTATATTCCACTCTTAATTAACTCGATTTGTAAAGCCTTGTAAGCATGATTTTTCTCACAAAATCCCACATTATAACCTTGCTTTTTGACACAATTAGAGATGCATGTTCTTCTTCTAAAATGTTTTTTTTTGAAATGTTTTTAGCCTTTTCTGGGTGTTATTTTGTTATGTAATGGTGCTGTTTCTTTAGATTGTTGCTTGTGTGTTGGGAAACTTATTAAAATGACACCTCACCTTATAGATACAATCCTGTTATTGGTGTTTTTAATGCACATGCAAGGTTCCATTTGAGAAACTCTTCTTTGAAATAGAAAATTTTTCGGGAAGAATATTTCCCCCTTTTCTTCATTCTCAATGACATCAATTAACTTATATTTTCCCAAGCAAACAGTTTTTTCTAAGCAAACTCAAGAATTCCTTTAGTATAAAATAATGTAACATACCAAGGAATGCATGCAGTTGTAAAATTAGTTTCAATCCAGTTCTTACAGCAGAGATTCTCTGTACTTATGTTAATATACAGTAAAATAATGTAGTTCTACATCTTGTTGGCTTTTTTTTTCTCAATACTCACAAAGTCTTTGGCAATTGTCTCTTAGACCTTAGCCAATGCGGTCGTGAAAGTTGTAATCCCGACGGAAAGGTACCTTTTTAATGAAAATTGACTGTTGTTTTGTTATTCCCTTGTGGAATACCCTGGCTGATGTGTTTTCCAAGCAACCTTCTTGTGGCGGAATTGATACGTATTTCAACTTGCTAAGATGTCTGTACATTTTTTGATACTGTAGTTTGGTAATTATTGTAGCGACTACTAGTGTATGTGTTATTATTGTTTTTTTTGTAAATTTAGTGTACTGTGTGTCTTTTCAATCGATGTCACTTTCTGTTTACTGCCTCACTTTTTCTTTTAAAACTGTTGATGAATTGAACATTTGGTTGTTCTTCAGGAATGGTTCATAACATTAAACACTGCATAGTAAAGAGTTATTATGTTAAATTCCCAATGTTTGTCTGTTCAATTTTTCGACGAAAAAAATCCTTTTGGTTCTTTATACAAAAACAATTTTTTTATTTGATTTCACAACCAGTTTTCAATGGTATATAGTAACATAAAATGGCATAGCCTAGCTCCTGTTAAGACTGTAATTGATCCCTTCTTTTTTGTTTCCAAAAACAGTAATTACACATAAGATAATTCCAAAAAACAAACAAATACCTGCTTCATTCAATCAGAACATCACATAGTTATTTTAACCAAGCCAGCCTCACATAGTCATGCTTACAGCTCTAGTTTACATGGTGATTTTATCTGTGGAAAGTCAACTTGGATGATATTTCTTTGCTGCATGTGACTTTGTATGATGCAATGCCTGCATTATGCCAAAAGTATTTACAACTTTCATCTTTCAACATCTTTTGGTGCCTCGTGTATTGTTAAGTTTTGAAACATGAAAAAACCCTGACATTTTTTGGTTGTGCACTACACAGAGTTACTAACATGCAGCAAAGTTTTGGATCTAAATCAATCGATACAATTTATCTTTGCAACAGTAGGTTCATGTATCTTCTCTAGCTTTGTGATGAACTTTTACCATGTACAATTTCATGGTGACAGTCACTAACTTTGGCCTGTTGTTTGTTGTTGTGGTAACCTTGGTAATTCCAACAGGAATCTGCTGTGCCTTGTTCACCGTATGGTTGAGTTTGTGGTGCGTGAGGGACCAATGTTTGAGGCCATGATTATGAACAAGGAATTGAATAACCCTATGTACAGGTGAGATATTTGAAATTGTGAAATTTTATCTTTGACTTTTGTCAAACTTTACAAAGTTGCATGGAAGACTTTGTTAAAGTGGCGTTATAACGAGCATGAAATTTAAAAGTGAAAAGAATAAAAGAGAAATTTTCATTGACAAAAACCTACATATAATGGTCCAGTTGATTGTTTAAGAATATAGAACTATTTAAGTGTTCAGAAGCTATAAATAAATTGAATATTGTAATGAGTTATGCTTACACAACCTTATTATATCAAATTGAAATAGTTTGGAGATTTTTTTCAGTGGGTTCAAAGTGTCTTACAAAAATTGCTCAAAAATAGTATTTTTGCAATTTGCTCTGGCCTTAATAGCAAACTGTCGCTTAATATCTTCATCTCGGTGTTGTAGGAGGTATTCAGTCATCAAATTATTTTAGTGCTGTTTTCATAAAAAAGGCCTCATAGTCACTGTGATGATGTCTCTTTTAAAAACAGGATTTTCTAAGGCAGTCATGTATTTCATCCGCAATTGTTTTATTGCTCAGTTTTTATCACAAATATATGAAGTCTTCCATTTTAACATTCACAGTGTTAAATGTATTAATCTTTGACCATCAACAGGTTCTTGTTTGACAACCAGAGCCCAGAACACATCTATTATCGCTGGAAGTTGTTTTCCATCCTCCAGGTTTGTTACATTTTTTAATGCTGTTGGAGATTTTCACCCAGAGAGTGTACATGAGTGACAGTATTGAACAACTTTCGCTCTTACATCAAAGTTGAAATGGGAACAAAAAATAGATTTTCAAAGGGACAGACTTTGGCCGAGCCGTTTGTAGAGCCATTAAAACAAGATTCATAGAAATATAGCTTAATTAATGCATACATGTAGCTGGGCTCAGTCGATCAAAGGATGGAATTGTCTTTAAACAGATAAATCCCAAGTTATCACCATTATTACCAGTACCTTAGAGCAAACTTTGTGTATGCATTCCAACCTGTACCAAAATCTTCTTGTCCCCCACCCCCCCATAAAAAAATCCACTCCAACCCTGCTTTTGTTAGGTACTGCAAGATATGTACCTTGACATATAGAAGTACTCCAACCAAAATTTCTCACCAATATGTAATGACATACATCTAGGGTGATTCACCAACAAAGTGGCGGACAGAAAAATTCAAAATGTTCCAAAATGGTTCAGTGTGGAGACCTCCTCAGTGTCATCAGTACACCATGAGTGCTGCAGCTTTTAACGCCAATAAACAACCTGTACCTCAAGTGGAGACACCCCTAGCACCACCGTCACAGCCAACAACAACTTCTGCACCTTCCTCACACAGTTCAAGTGGTAGCAGCAGCAGCAGTAGTGTTACACAGTCATCCACAGCAGCAAGTAGTCGGAAGGCTTCACTCTCCAATAAGTGAGGGTTTATTTCTTTAGCCTCTTGTCAACTATCAGCTATTGGCATAACCCAGCAGCCAACTTCTGTCAAGCTGGAGCTGTTAGAAAAAGGAATCAAATGTTGGAAAAAAAAAAGTTGAGGCGAATTGCAATTAAATTCAACACGATAATAGTATGGTGGTTGAATCAGCTATAAGTTGCAGTGTTGGTTTAGTCAAACTTGATAAGTTGAGTTGGACACGACAATAACAAGACCTTCACTATTAATTCATCAAGTTTAAACAAAGGAAATTATGTCTGTGACAGTGTCCTAATATTAGCATGGATTTTTATGATTTTATCTCTTTTCTTTTTTTCTTGTGAGCTAAGTTTTAGTTTCGATTTAGTTGCTTAGACAGTGTTTTACCCAGTGTTTTACCACATTTCTAAACACCTGGAAGGTCATCAAAAATGCTCTGCTGTGCATCATGCTTTTCACTCTCTTCTTGGTGTTTGGAAATGTGATAAAACACTTTCTCTTTTGTTTGATATATTACTTACTGGCATTAAGAGAAACAACTCCAATTTTGGTCAAGTGTGCATTTGTTCTAAATCATAACAGGTAGCAGTCTGTTAATGTTGCAAAAAGTAAGTTGCAAAAACCATCCCAGTGTTAACGATATTGTTTTTAGTTGTAAGTGTATATTCTTGTGTTGCAGACAACGTGACAAGCTGGAGGATATGTTGAGGGATTTAATGCCAGAAAGGGCCAAGATTGCTAGGTGTATGGTGTTCTGTGTTAATCATGCTGACTGTGCTGAGGAGGTAATTTAAAAGATAGCTCTCTGCAATTTTTTCTCCCCTTGAATGCTGCTTAGATAGGGACTGCCCATAAGGCAATTGTAAGTTGGAGATGCAGTTATTTGTGTAACCAAGATGCGAGGGTTGCCCAATACTCTGATCCAGAGCAGGTCGCCAAAGGGTTGACCATCTCTGACACAAAAGACTCAAAAAAATTTATCCTGATATTATGAAGCAGAAGGGGAGCGAAATGTGTGTGGATCAACACAATCTGTGATGGATTGCAAGGGCATGCTACCATGTCTGTTCATGAGAGACTTAACAAAAATTTCACTCTTGCCTTATGAAGTGGGTTAGAAATGTCAGCAGATCAACATGATCGTGATGGATCATGACAGGCTGTCACCGTTCGTCAGTTCACTAGGGAGGAAGTCATGTACATTGCTGTGTCATGTCTGCATTGTAGTGCAGTTACTGTGTATTCACACTACATGTACATCGCAGTGCAGCTTCTTGTCTAATCCTGTTTACTGTGTTTATACAGGTTGTTGAATGCATTGCTGAGTCACTTTCAATCTTGGAAACACCGTTACAGGTCAAGGTGAGAAGGCGTATCACCCTCTTTTAGGAAATTATACTTTTTCTCTGTACCCCTTCCAATTGACTGGCCAATGTTAAAATGCCGGCCTAAGAAAATTCTGTAGGTAGCCCTGCATTGGACTGGCATCCCAATCAGAGTCAAGTAGCAATACTCTGAAATGATTCACGCTATCAAAAGCCAAGGTGGTTATCGACATGATATACACAAAGATGCCCCAAAACATGTGCACATGAAAAAACACCATTTCATTTTAACATGTTGTTCCCTTATCTCTGATCAGTACTGTAATAACTAGGTATTTTTTTCATCCTCTAGGTTGCACGGTTGTACCTGGTGTCAGACATTCTGCATAATTGCTCTGTTAAAGTACCAAATGTGTCATACTACAGGAAAGGGTAGGCTACTATGTCCATCCTCTCCGTTTTTGCAGCCTAAATTTTGAACTGTAAAATGACTTTACCTGTGTCAGAGTAGAAATAAATGAATTAAAAAGGCAGTCAGCATGTACATTGCAGTATGTTCTTTACTTGCTCTCGCATTATATTGACAATAACACTTAACAGTTAAGTTTCAAATCTAAGTGTTAGAATCTGTTGCAAGATATCTTGATTTAAGAGACTGTGAACACTGCCACACAGACACTTGAGTACCATACGAAGGTATATTCTAGGGATCTATCTCTTTATTGGTGATAACAAGACCACTGGATAATTTTTCTGTTTCAGGTTTCAGACAATGCTCCCAGAGATATTTGGTAACCTTAGTGCTTCTTTCAAAGCTATAAATGCTCGCATGAAAGCTGAGACTTTCAGGGTAAGTTTGTCAAAACTGTCCCTTTTTTGTTCCTGCTCTTTGTGAGCCCCAAAACATCTTGTAATCATTACAAAACCATTACAAATAGATTATTGAGATACTATTACAAAAAGATTAAAAGTTAACCAAAGTATTATATTTTCTCGAATAAAAATATTTTTCACTTATGTTTTGTGTTTTTTGAGATTACTCAAGCTAAAAACTGAAGGACAAAAATTATAATCAGAAAACCTCACCGAAAAGTTACAAAACCTGAAATCAAAATTCTTGCTAATCCTGCGTTAGCTTAATCAGGCTTTGAACAACCCAGCTGAGAATATTAAAATGTACCCCAGGGAATGTGATTTTTACAGTGTCATAGGACTTCCCAGGGCATTACTATGGCAGGAACACAAGGAAGACTTCTCTTAAGTGAATTAGCAACTCTTGACGTCTGTAATATCTCAAACTTTGTTGACTTTTATTTTCAGAAACAAGTTCTTCGCTGTGTTGCAGCATGGATGGACTGGGCTGTCTACACCCCAGATTTCTTGTATGATCTCCAAAATATATTTCTGGGTCAAGGTGAAAAATCTAATCAATCAGAGGTAATGTAGATGAGTATTTGAATTCTCCTTACTATTGCTCATAATTTTTGTCATTCTTTTTGGGAGGATCTTGCTTTCGGCCAGGATGGTTTTCTGAGGTGAAAAAAAGTGTTTCTTCTTGTAACCCAATTACTTTGTTTTTCACTATAACTGGCAGAACTTGATTGTTCAGCAGTCAAACCTCTTTGATGCATACATCAAAGGGGCAGACCCTAGCGTCAGTACTATGGAGGTGTCCTCATTATAGAGGAAGAAATCATATGAATTCTGGTTTCTCTGGGACCAGCTGAACTGTTCATTATGTGGAGGTGTCCGTAAGGGGAAGTTTGACTGTACCACAATGCAAGTTTGCTTTCAGCACAAGCTAATGCAAAATAATTATTATCTTCCTTTATTCTTGGTCTGTCAAGAAAACTTTCCTTAATTAAAAGATCTAAAAAAAAAATGAAACAGTTCAATCGTTGCAGTAAAGTCTGATTATTAGAGACGCAAGAGTTATTTCCACTTTATGGATGAACAGTTTTTTGCAGTTTTTTTGAACAGTTTTTTGTGTAAAAATTGCTATACTGACTACCATATACCTAAGCATACCTAAGCTTGTAGGGGGTTGAAAGCATTGTTCACCAATTTCCAGCTTTTTGGTTCTCTTGCCCTAGGTTGCGGATCAACCCCTCAAGTCTCTCTATCCACTAGACGGAAGCTTTGGTAGCACTAAGGATGATTTAGATGGGGCGCCGCTAGACGTTGATGGTGTCCCTATAAAGTCAAAGGACATGGACGGCGTTCCCTTGAAACAGATTGACATTGATGGGGTTCCATTGTCTGGAGATGATATTGATGGAATGCCAAGTAAGTTTGGGTATATGTCAGGGCTGTAGCTAGTAACAATAGCACTTTTCACGGTTAATTTTTTTCATTTGCATTACAATGTAATCCAACGTGGATGCGAGGTAATTTCGGGCTAACACTACAAAATAGCCCGAAATTGCCTCACATACATGCGAGATTTTATTGTAATGCAAATGAGCAAAAGTAACCTTGAAAAGGGCTATTGCCTCAGTCAGTTTTTCTTCGTCGTTGTTGTTTTGTTTTCTTTAAGAGGAAAAGTAAAACACTGCTAGGAAATAAATAAACAAACAAAAATCATTGCCTCAGTCACAATTTGTTTTGTTGATAGAGGAGTGGGTCATGTACTACTGCACTCCATTCTTGCTCTATAAACGTCATCACAAGATGTATTTGCTAAAATGTTTTTTTACTGCGCCTTTCAATAAGATGCGAACTCTAAAATTGAAAGCTCAACCGATAAATGAGTTTTTCGCTACCATCAAACAAGTGTTCGGTGGCTCCTCCCAGCTTCCGACAACTGCCGAGCACTGTTTTGTTGTCTGAACTGTGCTCAACGATTTGATTACCGCACGCTCGGCAGTAGTCGGAAGCTGGGA